AGGCACCCGCCGGAAAAGGGGGAAAAATGGTGGACAAAAAAAATGGCAGACAAAAAAAATGGCGGACAGCCTTGCTTGGCGACCCCCATGAAATGGTCGATCGACCCCAAATGGGGTCCTGACCCACAGGTTGAGAACCACTGATCTACATTTTACCTACTTTGTCCAAAAGAATTTCACAGAGCATTCTGTCAAATGCTTTGTTGTAATCAACACTGATTCTATCAAAAGAGATATAGTTGACTAATTCTTACAAACAGCCCTTGTACCTCATAATCAATTATCTTTTTCTAGATGTGAGCTAGCTAATTTATATTCTGTTTTAAAATTTTGTCCAATATCAACATTCATTGACTGGTGTAAAATTTCTTGGATTCATTCTTTTAATTTTTTTAAAAGTGATAAAATTGTATCTATTCTATTTCCTGAAAATAGGTGGTGGCTTTGGAACAACCCTGACAAAATTCTTCTGTACCTGAAATGTAGCTTTTTATTAACAGAACAGTAAAAGCATCACTTGGATATTAAGTTTTACTTTGCAAGTGATAATAGGTTAATCACACTTTTAGAGAATGAAAGGAACTCATTGATTTTTTTTCTAACTACTAGATCAATACGTATCAGTTCAGAGCTGTAAGAAAACAGAAAACCATAACAGCAAAATGAAATATGCCTCAAACTACAATGGATTTATATCATATCCAATGAATACCATTAACCAATTATTTTACTCAGTTCACAAGATCCTTACAAATTAAGATGACATGTCCTATTGTCAAAGTAATATAAAGCAGCTTAATCAACCTCGAGAACAGGAAAGTCTATAATCCAGCTTTGGAATTCAGCAAATCATATGGGAATTCGATGCAACAGAAATCACCAGTGTTGTAAGCATGGAAAGAGAAAATGCAGATTGACAGCTAAAACAAACTGACAGTTTGATAAAAGAAACTCTAACTTGTTATATTTATCCCAATTCCTTGAGCTTTGTCATAGAAAAAAATACAGTTCTATTCATATTTGCATAACTATTATTAGGAAATTATTACATTGGGGTAAGATGGAAGTATTGGGGGAATTTTTTGAATAATAGTAAAAAATGCAGCTAGAACTTGGATTCTCATTTAAATTTTGCATTTGGTCTATCTGACCTTGTAAAGTCTGAGGTAAGAATAATCAACAGTCTTGCAACATACAAAATGGCATTTGATGTAAGGTTAGCTAAGGAGCTGCATTGTCTCTCTCTTATCCAAAGATCACATTTGGACAGTGATGATACTTGCTTTTCACCAGTTATGAAAAATGTCAACAAATGAAACTGAGATAGATCTGACATAGAAGTAAGCTACCTTAACATACTGTATGTAAGGCCCCAAACCAAGAAAAAAGACTCATGGTGGTTCTTCCCAACTGAATTCTTTATTGTTTCACATCTACAGACAAAATCTTGCCAGACTAAGAACTCTACTATCTGTATCTAAAATATACTCATGAATTATTAGATAGAGGTTGTCTTCACCCCTTTTTCTCTCCCACCTAATATCTAGACTGAGTTGCGTCTTATACCTCTAGAATACACCTCCTCCTTCCTGCAAATCCACCTCTTTCCTGCATTCCATCACACAGTGTTTTGTTTTCATTCTTGGGTAGCCTTTAATGAAATTAGGCCTAAAATACACCAATCTAGCACTTATTTACAGGTCTAGAAAATATATATAAATGAAGAACTTCCTTAATCACAAAAGGTACCTTGTTCTTTTTAAAGAAGTATGGCACATCTTGTGGGCTGTCCTTGAGCAAGTAAATCTGTTTCTTCAACAGAAATTTACACAGTAGGAAAAAAAAATCTGTTGCTAGAAATTTCATATGGACAAAACAGGAATAGGGTAGATTTTTTTTTAAGTTGAGCAAGGATTCAGTACTGGTGACTGATATAGCAATAGCACTTAAGACATATACCACTTCATAGTGCTTTACAGCACTCTCTGACTGGTTTACAGGGTCAACATATTGCCTCCAACAATCTGGGTCATTTAAATGACCTTGAAAGGATGGAAGGCTGAGTCAACCATGAGCCGGTCAGAATCGAATTCCTGACAGGGAGCAGTGAGTTATCCAGCAATACTGCATTCTAACCATGGCTCAGGATACAGTATATGCATTTTAACCATTTAAATAAATCATCCAGTCATTGATGAAGCTGTGTCCTAGAAACCAGCAAGAGGTAGGAGGCATGGGTCTTTTGTGGACTATATCAGAGGTAGTCAACCTTGACTCTTTTATGACTCGTGGACTTCAATTCCCAGAATTCCTGAGCTGGCTCAGGAATTCTGGGAGTTGAAGTCCACGAGTCATAAAAGAGCCAAGGTTGACTACCCCTGGACTATATGTTTCACAAGTAGATAGTCCATGCAACTCTAGCTAAGAAAGTAAAGATACCTATCTGAAGCATTGTGTATTTGGGATTTTACAGAAACCTTCACTGGTAGTGTATTTTATGTGATATATTAAATGGAATTCCTTGTTAAGAGGATAAAAATTAAATACTGTTCAAAATATAATTCAGGTAGTCCTTGACTTACAATTTTTTTTTAGAAATCATTCAAAGTTACAAAGGGCCTCCCTAGGGGTATATACAACCTGGTTCTGAAATTTAAACGGCTATCCCCTCAATCATGTGATCAAATTTTCAGCTCTCAGCAACTGGCCAGCATTTTACAGCCATTTGCAGCACCCCATAAGACCATGTTTTATAGCAAAACCAGACCATTGCAAACCACTAATGACTGTACTGTTCGCTTACTGATTGCTACAAAAAATCATTGGTAGAATCGGGTCAGTCATGTGGGTGACCCAATTTATGACTGTCACAACTTACAACCACGATGGCAGGTTTCATTATGATTGTAAATTGAAGGCTACCTATATATCCTTCTGCAAAATAAATAATAAAATAAATTATTTACATGTAATTTTACAGATACCTATCTTATCAAGTGGATAGATAATGTGAAACTTGTCTGATATTTCTATATATATATGAATTGTTCAAGACTAAGGCAATTTTACTCATCTTCAAACAAATATTTAAGTATTTCTTACAAATAGTTTATGCTAAGTGTATATGCCAGTTTGGTGTAGTGATTAATGTGTTGGTCTAGAAACCAGGAAACTGAGTTCTTGTGCCACTTTAGGCAGGACAGCCAGATGGGTGATTTTTCGCCAGACATTCCCTCTCAGCCCAACCAGTGTTCTTGTGGTGGGCAATAATAAGCAGGAGATAAGAGTATTAGTTATGTTCATCACCTTGAGTATTTTTTAAAAAAATAAAAGCCAGATATAAATAAATAAAACATGCAAATATAAATAGTGTATACAAATTTCAGGAAAGTTGTTTAGATTATATAAATTTAAATGTAAGAAAAAATCTCCCCAAAATAATGCAAATAACATTACAATTATTGATTCTTATCATTGCAACAGTATAGAAAAGTAATAAATCAATAAAATATGTTTTTGGGGGCAGGGGTATTTTAAACTGTGACTCTGTGCTAATGCTATTTCTTTCAACAACAGTTCTCCAAGGTCTCAGGCAGAGATACTGTATATCTCAACACTCATAAATTAGTTTTAACTGTAGATGCCCACAATTCGGCATGCATCTGCTACAGCACCTTATCACACACCATTTCTTATTATTAGAAAGGTTATAAGCCAGTGTAGCAACTAGCATATGTATGCTTGATATTTCACCTGGTGCAAAGGTTGCAGAGAATTTTGTATTAAAGCCATTATTATAAACTTGAAAATGGATAGATTATAGCTATAATTGAAACTGATCTACAGAATGGGTACCAATATAAATCATAAAGTGGGGAGCGGGAGACACGAAGGCATAACAGATGGCCCTCTTCTCCTCCATCCATAGCTACTGGAGATGACAAGCTGGTAATTTTTACTGGGTGGTTTAGCTCATTAAAAATGACAAAGGGGATTTGTGACATTTACAACATACAGAAAAATGCAGTGTTTGTTCTTTGTGATACAATATTTTTTTAAAACATGCCATTAAGTGTGGGATAGCACCTATATTGATGAAGTTTTTATCTTGCCTTATATGCAACTCATCAATTGTTGACTATTTTCCTTATGAACTAGAAACACACAGTCATGATATTGTTCTCCTTTTATTAAATTCTATAATTTATAAGACATTCTACTTCATTTTTGTCATACTTTGTTTCAAAGAGAAGCTGCAAGTGAAAGGCATGTGCTTGAAAGGTTTTTAATATTCTGTACTTTCAAGAGATACCAATGTAGAATCAGAACACCAGTTCTTTTGTGTATCAAGTTATAATAATTTACTAGCCCTTTTCTTTTCTTACCCCTAGAGAATCCCTATAGCCTAATCCAAGTGAATACATAGAGCTAAATATCGTATTTCAATAATCCTCCATCCTCTTTTTAATGTGTTATTTTAAATAAAGATAACCATTTTTATAGCTACAAAATTGTAATTTAATAATGATGATGATGATGATGATGATGATGATGTTGGGAGGGACCTTGGAGGTCATCTAGTCCAACCTCCTGCTCAGGCAGGAAACCCTATACCATTTCAGACAAATGGCTGTCCAGTCTCTTCCTAAAAACTTCCAGTGTTGAAGCATTCACAGCTTCTAGAGACAGGTTGTTCCACTGATTAATTGTTCTAACTACCATGAAATTCCTCCTTAGTTCTAGGTTGCTTCTCTCCTAGATTAGTTTCTATCCATTGCTTCTTCTCCTGCCTTCAGGTGCTTTGGAGAATAGCTTGACTCCCTCTTCTTTGTGGCAACCCCTGAGATATTGGAACACTGCTATCATGTCACCCCTAGTCCTTCTCTTCATTAAACTAGACATACCCAAATGACCAAGATTAAAAAAGAAAGATGCAAGTTCATTAACACAGCAACATAAAAGTGTTCAAAGATGTTTCTGAATGGTTAAAGACACCATACCTAAAGGGATGGGATCGGGGTTCACTGGACTCTGCTGCCTGGAATGATTGCTACCGTTGCCTTTTTTTAAATCTTCTGCATCGCTGTATCGCCGTATCCAGTAATTAAGTTCTTCCCGATCAGCTTCTTGACATCGCCGTAGCACAGTGAGAGATCGCCTTGTTTTTTCTACCATGTCCATGATGCAGTTTAAGAGCTAGATAAAAAGGGAAAGGGAATGATGAAACGTTAATGTTTATTTGATGTATATTCTGCCTGTAAGACCCAGATTCTATAGAGCAGGATTACACTTCAGTGGTCCTCTGCATAAAAGAGCCAAATGGACTCCCACCATCCACTACTGCCATATTTTCCCAATAGGACATGCTACTTAAGTTTCACCATTGATTGCCACACAAACAGACTGCATTTTCTAGGTGAACTGTGGTGCTGCTGAATGAGAACTAAGCTGGCTCACAGTTCCACTCTGTCTGGGTGGCTGATTATGTTTGAGTACCCGGAACACAGTTTCCAATCTGACATTAACAAAGCAGTACAGTGGATTTCAGCCAATTTAATCTGGTGGTCAGCCAGCACAGAGCACGTCCAACTGTTAGTCCAGGTCATTTCCCATTCAAAAGGGCCATTAGCAATATTTACTGGGGGTGGAGTGAGGACAAGTGAAAGAAGCCTCTGCTACCGCTGTTGCAGAAGCACTGCATCTGTATATAGCATCTACTATACAGGGCTCAATGGTGAAGTTAGCTAGGAGTTCCAATTTTTTATGCAGTAATGACAATGTTGAGAAGTTGTAGGACAGAAACACTGGCATAAAGGCAGAGATGAAGGATAAAGGTTCCAAATAGCTACTGCCATGTGCTCTAAATCTTCTTCCTCCCAATGCCGTCTTAGGGATCCTATTTCCAATTTCTATTTTTCTAATCAGGTGTGCAAAGGAAATAAAGCACTCAACCCGTGGACACCCTGATTTTTTATTTCCAAAGAATGTGCAGTCTCTTATACATAAAGCTCCACTCTTCTTTAAGCATATTAGTTACCATTTATTTTTAAATAAGATCTGGAGGAAAGGAAATCCTAGCACCCAGACTCAACATTTTTGGCCATTCTCCAGCCATAGCAGATCCTTATACTATGTTTACTACTGGTTTTCAAAGAAACCTTCAACAATTTAAATGTTGTATGCTACAAATATTTGTTTTCATGCTGATTCTGTGAAAACTGCTGGGCTCATTTATCATGGGCTGGCTCAGGGAAATAGTTTTAAGAATAAGGGATAATTTGAGTCCAGTTATTTTAGATCCAGTTGGACATCTTAATGACTGTTTCAGGAATTGGCAATTCAACAATAGCATTCACCTGATTGCCAAGCAGAGCTCATTCCACATAATGTAAATAATAATATTTTTTAAAATATGTCATCATGAACTTTACAAATCTTGCAAAATTTCAGTGATATCTCATGTGAAAATGGCAAGCATCGCTTCAGTGAGTTCAAAATAATTGACATTCAAATTGGCATTTTTGATCTTGTAACCATAAATAACATTTCCCCCCTCCGTAAATAGATATAGATATTGATATATAGAGAGAGACGTAGATAGATAGATCAGTTCACACATAATGATGAATCCTGTTTTCTAACTTCATGAGTTTTTTCTTGTCTTGGTGCTAATATAACAGATGTGAGGACCTCTCCAAACTATAAGCATGCATAGGATTAGGCTGCAAATTTTCATAATCTATGGACAAAGTTAATAAGCATTTTTCACTAATTTTAAACTTAAAAGTTGTGATGTATATACTACTGAACAGAATACAGACATTCCTTACATGGTCAAGGTGTTTCCATTCTTCAGCCCATTCTCTATCTGTTAGCCTATGATCAATCATTTCTTCTTGTCGTGTCCCATGCAACCCTGCCAGAAAAAGCATGAAGTATTACATATGAATAACATGAAGGAGTAATCTAATAATAGCTTTCTATTCAGCCTATGGCTATAAATATATGCAATAATAATATTGCTTGGCTAGGGCCATCGCGTGGTACAAGTAGTCCTTTATTTACAACCACAACTGGGACTGAAATTTATGTCATAAATTACTGCAGTGCTAGGTCACGGTGGACCTAATTTTATGACAATTTTTTGGTGAATCACACAGTCATTAAGCAAATCCACCTTCCTCAAATGGATATTTTTGGCTGAAAATTGGCAAAAAAGGATCCCTTTCTAAGTCCCTGACTGCCAGATCAACAGCCAGGACAGAGGAACATCATTAAACATAAAGGCAAGGTAATCTAATCTCCTAATCTAACCAACATTCAAAAAGAAATAGGGAAAAGTAAGGCTAGGAAGAATTATTTTGGTTAATGGATTTGAAGTTTTTTCCTTTATCTATTCAAAGCAGCTTACATATATAATGAAATATATCCCACAAAAGCAAACCAAAACAATTCACTAACAAGTATATAGATTCCTTTTGATCCATAAAAGAGTCATTACAAAACAACAGGAAAAAATGTACAAAATGAAGACAAAGACCTCTTTATTTCAATAAGAAAAGTATTCCATTTTGTACGGTAGAAAAGGCCTGCTCCTGACCAACAGCATTATGATCTAACATAATGAGGCTAAAGCTTCATTGTTCACTCAATAACTAGCACACTGACTGATATATGAAAACTTGTACTGTCATGTAGGCCCCACACTTAATTGCATGAGCCCTAAACTAAATGAGGAGGCAATGCGTTGCATTAACAGAGGGATAGAATCAAGATCACGTGAAGTATTAATACCACTTTACAATGCCTTGGTAAGGCCACACGTGGAATACTGCATCCAGTTTTGGACACCACGATGTAAAAAAGATGTTGAGACTCTAGAAAGAGTACAGAGAAGAGCAACAAAGATGATTAGGGGACTGGAGGCTAAAACATATGAGGAACGGTTGATGGAATTGGGTATGTCTAGTTTAATGAAGAGAAGGACGAGGGGGGACATGATAGCAGTGTTCCAATATCTCAGGGGCTGCCACAAAGATGAGGGAGTCAAGCTATTTTCCAAAGCGCCTGGAGGCAGGACAAGAAGCAACGGATAGAAACTAATCAAGGAGAGAAGCAACCTAGAACTAAGGAGAAACTTCCTGGCAGTTAGAACAATTAACCAATGGAACAACCTGCCTCCAGAAGCTGTGAATGCTCCAACACTGGATGTTTTTAAGAAGAGACTGGACAGCCATTTGTCTGAAATGGTGTAGGGTTTCCTGCCTGAGCAGGGGGTTGGACTCGATGACCTCCAAGGTCCCTTCCAACTTTTATTATTATTATTATGATGATGATGATGATGATTATGATGATGATGAATGGGTATCTTCAGGCAAGCACTGGGACTGAAATAATAATGGAAGTGTAGAGGTATGGAGGCCGAAGCCCCAGTTAAAAGGAAGAGCTTAGCTTACCCATAGGTCTGTTTCTGTCCCTGAGGTCCCTGTGGTTGGGGTGTCTGTAGGAGTCCCTGTAGTGGTGGGCAATGGCCATATCATCCAAACGGTAATGCTGAGGTGGAGGCGGAGTAGGGTGAGGCAGACCATTAGGCTGGTAAGACAAGCTGTTATTTGGACTGTACCGCTGGCCTGGGCTAATAGTGCACGGCCGCTTGCTTGGATGCTCTGAGTGCAAAGGCTCTCTGTCAAAGCCATTTTCTTTGGTTCTAGGAAAAAAAAGATACAAACGTTTAGTTAAAGAGTTTTTCCAAGCCACGAGGCAGTGCTGCTGCACAAACTTTATTATTTTGCCTTCCCCAAACCTCCCCCCCCCGAAGTAGGGAACTAAAGTCCCAACATATGTGGAGGGTGTCAGCTTGGAAAAACTGCAGTACAGGTAGTCCTCGACTTATAGTGGTTCGCTTAGTGACCGTTCAAAGTTACGGCGGCATTGAAAAAAAATGACTTATGATCATTTTTCTATACTTATGACCTTTGCAGCATCCCCATGGTCACATGATTTATATTTGGCTGCTTGACAACTGACTCACATTTATGACGGTTGCAGTGTCCCAGGGTCATGTGATCACCTTTTGCAACCTTCTGACAAGCAAAGTCAAGGGGGAAAACAGATCCACTCGACAGCCATATTATTAATTTAACAACTGCAGTGATTCACTTAACAAACGTGGTCCCAAAAAGTTGCAAAGTGGGGCAAAACTCACTTAGCAAATTTTTCACTTAGCAACATAAATTTTGGGCTCAATTGTGGTCATAAGTTGAAGATTACCTGTAGATTATTTACTACCGATACTAATTTTAGATTCAACTCAAAATATATTCAGTTTAGGTTGAGTGCCCTGTGGGAAGAAAGGCAAATATAAATTGTACATATGAATAAATGAACGAATAGTGTTTGCAATAGAAACATCTCATAGATAGGTAGCAGTCCTATATTTGTTACTTTAACCAAATGTCTTATTATTTTTGCCTTCTAGTTGCTCAGTGTAATGTATCTTTTGATCTAGTTTCTTGCTAACCCTGCAACGAGAACCTGTTTAGTGTAAGTCACTTATTCAGTGCCTTCAAACCATTGTTAAACAACTTGTCTTGTTTTGATTTTCTCCGGTATAAGAGGGAAGAGGAAGAGGGAAAAACAATTGGGCTTTCAAGAGTCTGTTATTTACAGCCTTTATCAATATTTCTTGCAAGTTTGATCCTGACCTTGCCCACTTCAGCTGATAATGTAAGTGAAAGCATGGGAAAAGCACATAGTAGAAAGTAGCCACCAGATCATTTGTAGGTTGGACGTTCTTAACCCAGGAACTGCCTGTATAATCATTTTTAATATAAAAACCTTGACAAATCAGGAAAAATATGTTTATTTCTATATCTATAGTATACGTCAAGGAACCAGGATTCTGCATGGTCTTGTGTTTACATTTCAAATATATTACGGATGCATTTTAGAAACTCCATACTCAAAAGACCACTTGTAAATATCTATGTTTGTATAGTAGCAATTAAAGCAGAGGTTGAAATGAGGTTTTTTTTTCAACATGGAGGGACAGACAAAGCAAAAGTAGAGTTGAAAGAAAAATGTTACAACTGTACATAACTGTACTTTTGAGACGATCATACTAATTTTTCAAATTGGATCCTTTCAAACAAAATGAGAACCTTTTGCAAAAGCACATTGATCACTTTCTGTACTTTTAAAAATTTATTGAATGATATTGCTAATATATAGAAAATGATCTTTCTTCCTTGATAAACCTACCAATGGTAATAGAAATGCTCAAAAACACTTATCTACTTATAAGGAAAATAAAATTTTAGTTTTATGACAGAAGATACAAAATGTTAAAACTGTATATTTTATTGGATTGTTTTGGATAGGTGGAGCAACCAACTGAAAAATTGGCACTGGCTTATAAAGCTGTAATGCAAATATTTTTGACAAGAGTTTAGAAGTAGTGAAACATATCTGAATCTTAACATTTAAGTGACTGTTTTGAACTGTGTATTCCATTTTAAATTGGTTCAATAAAATAACAGAATCATGAAGTTGGAAGGTCATCTATTACAGCACCTCACTTGAAGTAGGATCTACTATAGCATTTAATACAGATGATTATCCAGCCTCTGTATGAAGACTGCCAATGAAGAAACGTATCACCTTATAAGGCAGAGGTCCCCAACCTTTTGGGAACCAGGGACCGGTTCCGTGGAGACAGCTTTTCCATGGACCGGAGGGTGCGTTGTTTTGTGTGCTGCCTGCATCCCACGGATGGGGCTTTGCTTGTTTGTGCGGACTGGTACTGGTCCACGGACCGGGGGTTGGGGACCCATTATAAGGAAATCCATTCAATTCTTTTACCAACATCAAATTCCTTCTAATATCTAGCTAAAATCGACTTCTCTGTATTTTCAGCTATTGGTTCTAGTCCTTTTTTCTCAGACAACAGAGAACACACAACAAGACATGTTCCCTCTTTACATGACAACTTTTAGATAACTAAAACCTAGTTCCTTCTAGGATTTGGTTTTGAGTCCCTTCTCTTTATTTGCCATTGTTGATGTTTTGTGATGCCCAGAATCAAATACAGTATTCCAGGTAGGGTCTATCTAAAAAAGAGATGATTGCTTTCCATGAACTGGACTCCATGCTCCTATTAATACATGCCAAAATAACATTTGTTTTTATAGCAACTGCATCACAACTTGTTTACAATATTTAGATCCTTTTCTCATTTTCCCATTCCCATCTAGCCCATATTTTACTATGATCAGGGACTGAACTTAAGACTATCTGCAAATAGTACAAGTCTTACATATTCCTGAGCACATACGAGGTTATTTATTTTATTTATTCAATTTTTGTGCTGCCCATATCTCCTTCAAGGTGAATCTTGGTGGTTTACAAGTTTAAGATCAAAACCATGACATGCACAATTACCATTACAAAGAATAAAAATTTTTAAAAAATGCAAGGGGAAAAGAGGTTATTAGCTACTGATTGGGCTTGAGAGAGGGAGGTTATATAATGGTCCACAATGCCAAACTAACTGCTCCTGTCTATTAATTTCTAACGAAGAAATTAAGTCTGGTGATAGTTCACTTTAACTATATTGGAAAAGCTAATGCAGTATAATCTAGCTCCAAAAATTCAAAACCAAAATAATTCCTCCCAATGAGACCTAGAGAAGCAAGGGTCCCCTTCAGAACAAAAGCATATGACATATATTAAAACAAATATAGTATATATAAATGCAGATTTTTAAAAATGCACAAATATGAGCTCTTCATTTTAAAAAACATACATATTTTCTGTACGGTCTGAAAAAAAGAGTGGTATATATACATATATAGATTTATATGCACACATACATATATCTTTATCTATTTCTCACTTTGTTTCTAATATACCATGCACAATTACGTACATGCACATATAATATACCATACACAATTATTAAAAATGTGTTGTCTCCTCAGGTGTCATTCACTTCTCTCATTCAGTGACTGATGGCTTCCAGTGTTATTACAGAAACAGATTGATCTTTTTAATGAGCTCATTTAATAGACTCCAAAATCTCACCGTGGCTGCTCATCCATGTCAGACCATATGCACCAAGAAAACATTCACTGAGAGCTCTGCTGTCAGACTGTTTCATAAAGCTTTACATACAGCAGAACAGGGCATATAGCTAAAAAGCAAGAAGATAGAAAATGAATATGCAGACAAGATGCTAAAAGTGATAAATAGATAGATAGATGATAGATAGATAGATAGATAGATAGATAGATAGATAGATAGATAGATAGATAGACAGACAGACAGACAGACAGACAGACAGATAGATAGATAGATAGATAGATAGAGGTAGGTAGGTAGGTAGGTAGGTAGGTAGGTAGATAGATAGATAGATAGATAGATAGATAGTTAGATAGATAGATAGATAGAAATAGAAAGAAAAAAAGAAGTTGTATCTATTTGCAGTACTTCAGGCTAATTCTGCGACTGCCAGGAGTTTGATTCTGACTGGTTTAAAGTTGACCCGGTCTTCCATCTTTCCGAGGTCAGTAAACTGAGGACCCTATAAAATTGGTAAATTGACTCTATAGAGTCGATAAACTGACTCTATAAGCCTCTTAGATAGGGCTGTAAAGCACTATGAAGCGGTATATAAGTCTATAGCTATTGCTATTTTTCAAGCAATCCTTATCAACTTAGGTAAGGGGGGGCACAGATTAAAATTCAAAAAAGAAATGCAGCGTTTCTTTTCTATTTTCACTGAAAACATAGCATTATATCAATGTGGCAAATACCAAGAGAATGTAAAGGTAGGTAATTATTAAACATGGATCCACTTTAAAATACTTTGTGTTTATAATGTATTAAACTGCCCAAAAACAGAACAAAGCAAAATTAAATCTGGCCTGACTGACTGCAAAGACTACAAGTTGAATAAAATTCCTTCCTTATAATGTTCTTTACATTGCTTTCAGAAGAACAGGAGCATTCTTGAAAGCAAGTAGCTGCTTCAGGATGCCAAATTTACTTCTATTCATGGAGACAATCATAGTAGGACTCTATGTAAAAACCTTAATATAAGACCAACTAACCTTCAAAATAACCTGGAGCTAGAACTGATAGCTCATCAAACAATGTTTCAGCAATTTCAAGAGGATAATATGATACTGGTATTTTTATCTTCAGTATCCATTCTATTTTTTTTTATTCTTCTCTATTTGACCATACAGCCAAGATATAGAAGGCATAATAGTCCCTGACTTGTGACTGCAACTGAGACCAGAATCTCATTCATTGAGTAAAGTGGGCATGAAGTAAGATGCCCATGTGACTGTTTGGCTCAAGAACCGCAATCTTGGCATTTCTGGTTGTGGTTGTTAAGTGATTGCTTGGGTCATTAAGTGGATGCAGCAAAAAAAAAGTTGTCTGCCAATTCAGCTTCACTCCATGTGTAGAAGAGAACTGTGTTGGCAAGCTGCAGGAATGGAGCTCAGATCTTCAGGAGCTCAGATCTTCTGTTTCTCCATCTCATCTTCCTTCCATGCACAGAAGAAAACTGTTCCATGTTCTGGATCTGAGCTCCATTTCTCTACCCCATTGGGGGAATTCAACTCCCTTCAGTAGGCAGCTCTTTCAGCCACTCCCAGAGACAAGAGGCAGGCAACAACAGGTTTGTACAACCTTTCCTGCCACCTTCCCCATTGACTTTCTGGAGAAGCTGACAGAGAAGATTGTGGGATGCTTGGCAATCAGTCGTAAGTGTGAACACGAACGCAATCATGTGACTGCATGTGACCGTAGAGAGGTGTTGTGGTGAAACGTTTAGCAGTACTATGGCCAGAAGTGCTTTACAGGCCATAAAACACCCTTTCAAAGGCTGTTGTAATTTTGGTTATTAAATGATTGATTGAAAGTCAAGGTCTTCCTATAATGGTAGCAACAAATTCTAGGTTATACTATCTGTATATTCTTCTCCTTTGAAAATGTAAAAATTAGCTCAAATGTCATTTCTTTTTACAATTTGAAATCCTTTGGTACCTAGCATACTGTGAGAAAAGTATTTCTGATAGTGTTTGTTCAGTTTCTTTACTGAATCTTTGCCATGATTATCTTGTAAGACCTTGAGCAATAAATTTGACTTATAAAATCTTGAGCAAAACTCTATTTGTTCAAAATACCATTTAGAATTTTTAGCAGCTTTTTTCAAAACTTACAAGAGACTACAGATGATTCTATGCTATATAAAGTTTTTCTTTAGTTTGTTAAAACATTTCTGAGGATATGGAGAACTAAAAAAAACAGCAGTGCATTTACGTATATCTTATTCTTAATTCTTAACAATTCTGTCTTCTCATGACATCCAAATGCAATCATTCTAGTTAAGGTTACAGTAGTTCTGTATTTGTTAAAATGAATCTGTGAGATTCATAAAGAGATGCTATCATTGCAGAACAGAAATGAGGAATGAAATCAAAATTTATCTTGGTTGCCAATGAAATGAAAAGAAAATTGAAAAATTGCTGACCTTGTGATCCTTGTGGGAAAATTGCTAGTGATTCCCCATTTTTTTGAGATGAGAGAAGTGAGGCCAGAAAAGAAAATGTTTTTAAAATTATTTTACCTATTTTATGGAACAGTTTTCACTAGAAATTGGATCTTGATCACTCATGATTATGATATTCAGAGAACAACTGAACTCTTTCATGGGGCTTTGAGTACTCAGTATATTTAAACTTTTATATTTACAGTATATTTATATTGCATTATTATTATTATTGATTTTCTTAGCATACTCTATATTTTATATGGATTTTGTTCAGGTTATTATATTAGAGGTAGTCTTCAGTTTAATGAGTTCTGTTCCCAAGGTCTATTCTTCAATTAAATTGTATGTAAGTTGGAACAGCAGTATTGTAAAAGTAGTATTGTATAATGAATTTGACCCATTGTGTATTTAACTTGAATCATCGTGTATTTAACACAAATTTTGCTACAATAGGCTCCTTCCTAAACTATGAGTCTTCCTTAAACTGGGGTGTTGTTAACCCAGGGACTTGCTGAACTTTGCATGATATGCACTATTGTAAGCCTCAGGAGGTCTAGAAGGATTTAGAAGCATGCAAATTTAATAATCAAACTAAATTTCACTTTTGCTACTTAAAAGGTATTTGACATCTACCCGTTTTCTTTTCTATCTTTCTCGCCTGCCCGCCTGCCTGGGGTTCTTGCTTTCTACTGTCTTTCCCACCCTTCCCTAGCAAAGAGACTTGGAGGCCAGAACATCCTTCCTCTTTGACTACTTCCTTCTTCTCTCTTTCAGGCAGGTCAACCTTCCTGGCCTGTCTTCTCTAGACAAGTCTTGATTCCGTGCCACCCTGCTCAAAAAGTGTGGCACTGCCCCAAAGCACAACTTGCCATGGAGAAGTAGTGAGAATTTCTGAAAGGTAGCCCTGTGCAGCCCAGTCAACCAGGTCTTGCTTCAGACCTGGAGACGTGCTGTGGTGACCCAAAACAAGCCAACAAGTCATCTTTGCTTGCTGCTCTTCTTGGAGCAGCAGTCTATGGGCCACCCAACACCCATTCAACATATTTTATACAAGGCTGAACTCTTGAGACCCTCGATGTAGTTTATGTGTACAAAATCTGGGATTTCAATATATTCAGCACATTTATCCAAATATGTCAAATATGACAATCATGTGCAGACCAAATATGAAATCAAGAATAGGAATCTTAGTACTAAATAATTACATTACTGTGAGATATTTTGACAAAAGGCAATTCTGTATAGTTTCCCCCACATTCTGGATAGTTCAAGTTGCATATACTCTAATGGGCTAAACGGACACATTGGAAATAAAGAAGTGGAGCTTTTTGAGAGTATGATCATTCTTCAATGTGTTCATTGCAAATTAAATCACACCCAGTATGTTTACATAATTTGCAAAATAATATATAAGCTACAATTGAATTCAATAATAATCCTACATATCACTGTTAGATTAGCTCCAATGTATAAACTGTGGGGTAATAATGACAACTGTGCCATTACTATAAACTATTCCATAATCTATAAAAAGTGCTAAATCAAAATCCACTTTTTGTGCAACACATTTTTCTATCCATGTGTGTCCAATAAAATGATGTAACAGACCCTCATTTTCTCTTTACAGTTCTTCTTTAAATATTTTGAAACAGCAGTCAAAGTGACTCAATGCATTGAAATCCCTTCTGCCAATTAAAGGCAGGAGGGGTAGTTTCACTCCAAGGGCTACATTTTCTAACTGTAGTTTTTTTTAATAGTATGCTAGTGTTAAGCGAGGCCAAACTTTATTCCATTCCCATTCATCCATCAGTCTATTTTGCTTATGCTCATTCATCCATTCTTACACACAGAAAGACGTTCCATGCTTTTTGCTGGATGATGGAAATCTGTGCTTTTGTGCAGAGAGAAAGCATACTGTTGAGACAAAATTGACAAAAATCAACATTGCAAGGGAAGTTTACAGAACATGGAAAAAATGCTCCTAGACATTTACCTGTCTGGAGTTCGCCTCTTCCCGTTTTCGTTCACATCGAGAAGCAGCTCTGAGGAGTCAACAGGTGAGGTGGTGCTGGCATCCAGAAGCAGCTGCTCATGCTGAGCGAGGTACTGGGCGGGATTTTGCTTGGCTAGCCTTGCACAATGTAGGAGCTCCCGCTGTAGCAGGGGCAAATTGGCCTGGAAGAACAGAAAAGGAGCAATATGACATATACCAGTGAATAGTTAGCCCTGCCACAAATCTATAGATCAAAAATGGAATGTTAGCTAGTTTTTCTCAATTACGAAAAGGTGACATATTACTTCCCACATGCGTAGACTAGAATTCTGCATTATCTAATCCCAAACACAACAGGAGGAAAGTAAGTCTGTGAAGGCTGAAGTCATAATCTTTTCCTCCAGTGTTAAATATTGATAACATTTAAAAATATACATATATTGCATCAAACCTGAACTATAGTTACAGTGTCAACAAACAATGATTTGGAAGCTTTGCCAATAATACAAAGCTTTGAATGGGGCTTTTCTAGAAAGGAGAGTGGAAAGCAAAACTCTCCTGGTTAAGAAAAACATCACATGCTTTGCAATACTAAACAACAGAAATTCTTCTCTGTGACCATCTGGCCCTTCTCCAGCTGCAGTGTACAGCCTCAGGCATAAATAGGGAAAAGCACTGCAGTGTGATTGGGGGATGTGAAGATCTCTTTGAGAAGAACAGGATGGAAGGAGAGGAAAAAAGGTATGCACACACACAAACACACACACACACACACACACACAGAGAGAGAGAGAGAGAGAGAGAGAGAGAGAGAGAGAGAGAGAGAGAGAGAGAGAGAGAGAGAGAGAGAGAGAGTTGTTAAAAGGCAAATAAAACTTTCCCTATGATCTTAAAAGACTCACAGAACTTTTGTAATTTTCTGCCTGCTATGAAAATTCATCAGCACGAACTTCCAAATCAAGAATTGTCTTGTGAAACTTGGATTTTGCAGGACAATTTAGATAACTGTTTGAGCAGGGGGTTAGACTAGAAGATCTCCAAAGCCCCTTTCAACTCTATTATTCTGTTAATGCTCATGTCTTGAATGTGATATGATGTGAGTTGTCTGCAATAGGTATTGTGTGAGAAATTTCAGCAAGCATGTTTTGGAGCTTGTTGAAAAGGTGATTGCTAGCTGCAGAATCCATCATATGTTCTATTCTCCTATGCTACCTAATTCTATGGCTGTGAAAGTTGGACCATAAGAAAGGCTGAGTGCCAAAGAATTGAGGCCTTTGAACTATGGTGCTGGAGAAGACTCCTGCGAGTCCCCTGGACAGCAAGGAAATCAAACTGGTCAGTCCTAGAGGAGATCAACCCTGACTGCTCTTTAGAAGGCCAGATCCTGAAGTTGAAACACAAATACTTTGGCCACCTAATGAGAAGGAAGGACTCACTGGAGAAGAGCCTAATGCTGGGAAAGATTGAGGGCAATAGAAGAAGGGGATGACAGAATGAGGTGGCTGGATGGAGACACTGAAGCAGTAGGCTTGACCTTAAATGGACTCCAGAAGATGGTAGAGGACAGGAAGGCAACGTTGTCCATGGGGTCGTGATGGGTCAGACACGACTTCGCATCTAACAACAAATCTAATTCTAGAGATGTAATTTTATAAGTGGCTTTTCTTTTCTTTTTTTTTATAAAAATGTTATTCTGAGACAAAGAGGCTCTTTATATGTGTGGGTATAAATGTGAACAGAGAAATTTCTGGCTAGCTTTTTCATCAGGCGCATTCCTTATTTGTGCCCATATTGAAAGCCTCCACATTTGTCTTCTCGCAAGCACTAAAAGTTTCTTTCCTTCTACCAGATACATTTAACAGGATTATAAGTTAATATTAATTTCATGAATTTTCCTGAAAAGTTTTCATTTTAAAAGAGGTAGAACTCATATTAGTATATGGACATACAATATATTTAAAAGTCCACCCATATCTACTTGCTATTTTCTATGTGTTTCCTTCCCATGTGTACCAAAGTTTTCTTCCTAGCTTTACGTAGGCAGTGTTTTCAGCCTTGCATACAGATGCCTCTATGCAGTCTTTAAATATCATTCCCAAATGGTATTTAGGAAAATGATATCATGTGCTAGACATCTTGCATGCAGATGTCTTTGGCCAGGCTTTTTTGGCTCATTCCCAGAAAGGGGCTTAATATGTGTTTGAAAAAGAAATCCTGGTCACAAAATATAAACAAGCTTTGAAAGGGAATGATGCGATCCGTAAGTTTCTAATATTTTATTAAAATTAAATTAAGTCAAGCACATTCACAAAGAATTGCTGAAAACTTGTTTTAAATTAATATTTACTAATAAGAAAAAAGAATCTATAATTTGAGAAATTTGTACTGAAAATACCTATTGGGATTAGAGAATATATTAAATTATGTTATAATTGATAGATTAAATATGCATAGCTGCATAAGCAAATAAGTAATGAGAGACATATACATGACCATTAACAAATGTATACATACAAATGACATAATACACACACTCTTTCCCTTAGTACTCTGTTTAATTTACTGACTCAATAAACATCTTCTGCCAATTTTTTTTTAAAATATGGTAATGCAAAGCAATTTTGCTTGCTCTAATTCTGGTGCCAGATTAGGTAATTAGAACGGTGTCTAATATCCTTCCAGTAAATGTTTCTCCATAAATGCAAAATGGAACTGAGGGTCTGTGAGTTACATTAGCTTAATGAAAACAAGACTTTAATGCATATTGTTACAGCAGCATTTCAATGCACTTATTAAAGCCCGTGTTCCCACAACCATATGGTTTTTGTCATTAATGTCTCCTTTGAGGAAAAGCACTAAAATTAGAAGAAGAAAAGAGAAGTTGCATCTTTGATTCTAGTGATCCCAAATAAATGATATGACAACCATATGGTGTGAAGCAATGATGGAAAGGTCTAGAAGTAGCCTTGTAGTTTTTTTCCCCCTTATTCTCTTTTGTGTTCTTTTTTTAAAGCTGCCTGCTTCACCACAATATTTAGATATGATGAAATGCAACACTGAAATAATTCCTCCTCTTAAAGACACAAAGAGAAATAAAATCTCATTCGATGTGAGAATTGTAACTGAATGTTTCTCCCTCCCCGCTCATCTTGTTAAACAATTGAATAAAACATTGTACAGCAAGTGGATATTAACAATGAATAACAAGTATTTGTCCTGTGGATATTTAAAATGATAGAAGTTGTTTTTGAACTGAAATTAAAGTTTCTGTTTTATGGATGATTTTTTTTATTTGTAGAAGATTTGTTCTGATTAAATAATTCTAGATTCATCCCAGCGTTATATATCTTACAGTATTACAGTAAAATAATAAATACTGCCACACAACAGTGTGCTGCGGCAGCCAAAAAAGCCAATGCAATCCTAAATTGCATTAACAGAAGGACTCAATCAACATCACGTGAGGTACTAATACCAGTCTAAAAAGCCTTAGTAAGACCACACCTAGAATACTGCAACCAATTTTGGTCTCTGCACTATAAAAAAGATGTTGAGACTCTAGAAAAAGTGCAGGGAAGAGCAACGAAGAGGATTAGGGGACTGGAGGCTAAAACATATGAAGAATGGCTACAGGAACTGGACATAGCTAGTCTAGTGAAGAAAAGGACCAGGGGAGACATGATAGCAGTGTTCCAATATTTAAGGGGCTGTCACAGAGAGGAGGGGATCAGCCTGTTTTCCAAAGGACCTGAAGGCCAGACAAGGAATAACAGATGGAAGCTGATCAAGGAGATTCAACCTAGAGGTAAGGAGAAATTTTCTGACAGTGAGAACAATCAACCAGTGGAACAGTTTGCCTTCCACTGTTGTGGGAGTTTCATCATTGGAAGCTTTCAACAAGAGACTGGACTGCCATCTGTTAGAAATGGTGTAGGGTCTTCTGTTTGGGCGGTGGGTTGGACTAGATGACCTACAAGGTCCCTTCCAACTCTGTTATTCTGATTCTGAACAATCAGTAGTAATTCATTGTAATTTATTTTACATTCTGACATTTCAAAATTTATAGATAATGAATTGGTATTGGGGAGGGCAACATTGTTGACTTTGTTTTAGCTAGGAGCTACAAAGCCGATGGGCAATTACTTATTTTATTTATATGGTATAAATAGTCAAGCCATAAAACCCAGAACATTAAGAACATAGAGAGTGAGTTTGGTCTAGTGGTTAAGGCACCAGGCTTAAGTTCAAGTCCTGTCTTAGCCATGAAAGCCAGCTGGGCCCAATCCACCTCACAGGGTTCTTGTGGGAGGCAAATATAAGGAAGATGCTGTAATGTGTCTGTTCTCCACTTTGAGGTATTTATAGAAAAACAATAAAAGTGAGAAATTAATAAATAGTGACTTGAAAAACAAGCCAACAACTGATAACACAAAAGTAAAAACAATAGCTTAAATGTCAATATCCCCAATTTAAATATAAATAATACTGAGCAAAGTTTTGAATGCACTATTGGAAAAAAGTAAAAAAAAACCTAATAACACCAACTTTATACACTAGGCTCAATTACCATCCAGATCCAGTGTCTGAGGGAAAATCTTGGAATTCAAAACTTCAAGATATTTTTCTTTACTTTCTTTAGAGGCTTTACTTTTTAACCTTCATTTTAGGGGCTTGGGAATATTTGTTTTTTTCAAAACAGTCTTTAAATTTTCTGGCCCAGCCCCCCCTCCCCAGAAAAAAAATTCCAATAAATCAGGATTGCTTACTCCATGTAACTGAGGGAAATCATATGACCCGTGGTCTGCATGTTTTTTTTTCTTTTGTTGTATTCATTTTTATAAAAAAAACAACTTGGTAGGGCCAAATGCTTTTCCCTTTTTTTGGGTACCATATGAAGCTAACTGAATTTTGATATGAGATAGTGAACCTTCTGCAAATGGCATGTTCAATAATGCGACCTATGAGGAAAGCCTGAAAATGTTTCCTGGTAGATATTTATTGGAAAACCCTTCCTCATAGAAATCTTGATCAAGTTTGCTTGAAGGAAGTGGAAAGTAATGAGGCTTTCACTCTGCTGAATGATTTTGTTTCAGATCACTAGTTCCTTGCTTTAGGAAGCTGGTGATTCTGAACAGGATATCTAAGGGGGAAGGGAAAGCTTAAGACATCTGGTTTCCTAATGCAAGAGGTCGAAAACGGGGTTTCTGTTGCCCTGCTGACACAATACATGCAATATATTATGAGTCAAATCACCAGGTCTTACTTAGTTGTCTGGATTAAAGACATTGCTGTGAAAAAACTTCGCCCCTTTTGTTTGTGTGCTGTGATGTTGTAGACATGTACAGTATATGTAAGATAGAGTATGCAGTATGGTTCTGCTTTCATTATTTTGATGAAAGCACTGTATCCTGCAGATGATTCTGATTGGACTTTGTAATGTTCAACCATATAAGTTTCAGAGAAGAGTCTTTTCAAAGTATATACAGGTAGTTCTCGACTTATGTCCACAAATGAGCCCAAAATTTCTGTTGCTAAGCGAGACATTCGTTAAGTGAGTTTTGCCCCATTTTACGGCCTTTCTTGCCACAATTGTTAAGTTGCAGTTGTGAAGTTAGTAACAGGGTTGTTAAGTGAATCTGGTTTCCCCGTTGACTTTGTCAGAAAGTTACAAAAGGTGATCACATGACCCTGGGACACTGCAACAGTTGTATATATGAGTTGTCAGTTGCCAAGTTTCTGAATTTTGATCACGTGGTTGTAAGTGTGAAAAACAGTCATAAGTCACTTTTTTCAGTGCCGTTGTAACTTCGAACTGTCACTAAATGAACTGTTATAAGTTGAGGACTACCTGTGTATGGTCTTTCAGGCCATTACTTTGTCATCATATCAAATGTGAAATGAACTGAATAAACTCTATATAAGGCGGCTTTTGAAAATCACTCAATGCAATGGCCAGGCAGGAATGGGTATGTCCATATAACACCTTTGCTTCATGCACTGCACCAGTTACCAGTTAGCCTCCAGTGCAATATAATATATATAGCTCCAAAGAGTACCACTGCTTATACAAAACTTGTGTAGCGATAGTAGCAGTTTCTCCTGCTAGTGAAACAGCAGGAGCATTATTAGGTGATTTCATTTTTTACTGCTACTGATAATAAACCAAGCTGTGCAGGATGTTGGATCAATGGAGCTAGATCTGGTGAAGGAGGCACTGTCAATCAACTAAACATACATAGGAGAAAATGGATTGAACAGATGAGGTAGCACAGTTGAAAAATGATTTTATAACAGTGCTTTATAACACTGAAAATAGATGTTACAGAGCTAACAAATTCTGTCTAGTTAGCAATGAATATATAGAAAATAATTATTCTAAAAGAGTTTATCCCACTTACACTAGGAATGGAGCCCTTAAATATGAGAATCATTTTCCTCACTCTCTTAAAAAGCAGAACTATAATACACATCGGTGACCGAGCAATGATATAGTTTAAAATAGTTTCCAGATCAATGATCTGTGCAATACCTTCAAAAATGGGATGACAAAAGGTCGCAGTGGGAAGTTAGTGGCTTCTTGCAGTTTGGAATGAAATTCTTCAATTGTCAAAGTAGAGTTCTGTTGAATGAAAAAAAAATCTGACTCTGTAAAATGGATAATAGAAATGTTTTGGCAATATACATTAGGCTTGCAGTATTTTACACAGAGAAACATTCTTAAATGTTTTGTATTAATAATGTTGTAGCCTTCATTTTATCTCATGAAAATCATTACATTAATATAGTATAAAAAATACTACCACTATTTTGTTGTTGTATTTATGTAATTCAGGTTACCTTAAGACTACATTAGTTCCGGGAAAAAATGTCTGGTTTAATTTAAAAATTCATGTCTTTATGCAGTCATGTTTGTACTCATGAATGAGAAACAGAACAGGAATAATATATTTGGAGAAAGTACCAAACTAGCAGAAACGTCTATTTAACAGTCAATTGTCTCTGCATGACAGCTACTACTCATACTGCTATTGGTACAAAGCTAAAAGACATTAAGTAGTGGGCTAGCCATAACTCAGTATGTATTGACTTTTTTATATTGTCCTCCTTAAAGATTTTTTGGAGATTCAATTCATACAGTGCAGTATGTATGTGTTAATCAGTTGTAAACTCAGAATGAGATGCAGCTGCCATGTTGAAGGCTATTTTCAGTACAGGTGGTCCTCAACTTACAACCTAAAATTTCTGTTGCTAAGCAAAACAGTTGTTAATTGCATTTTGCTCCATTTTATAACCTTTCTTGCCACAGTTGTAAGCGAAGTTAGTAACAGGGTTGTTAAGTGAATCTGGTTTCCCCATTGACTTTGCTTGCCAAAAAGTCACAAAAGGTGATCACATGACCCCGGAACACTGCAACCGTCATAAATATGAGCCAGTTGCCAAGCATCTGATCATGTGACCATGGAGATACTGCAATGGTCATATGTATGAAAAATGGTCAAATAAGTCAGTTTTTTCAGTGCCATTGAACTTCAAAGAGTCAATAAATGAACTGTTGTTAAGCCGAGGACTATCTGTATCGCCTCTGAGTACCTCATGATTCTCCATTATTTATACACAATCCAAGTCAAGGAATCTCTGAAGGCTCTGCTGAAACCTATATTTAATTTGAGTAGCTGAGACATAAAAGCAATAATAAACCCACATCCTTCATTTAAACAGAGCATATGGTTCAATAGCTAATACTATTGTAGGTATACTGAATCAGACCATAACATCCATTATTTTCCTTTCATGGTGGCACAAACATAGTATTTTGGAAACAAAAAATATATATGGTTGGAAGTCTAACATAAATGGTTGCAAATCCTACATTGTTTTTAATAGTTACTGAGATATCTAAGCAATAGCACCTAGACTTATTTATCGCTTCATAGTGTTTTACAGCCTTGTCTAAGCGGTTTACAGAATCAGCATACAACAATCAAGGTCCTCATTTTTTTGTAATATTTTATTGATTTTCTAATTTTACATTTAAGTATTTAAAAAGCAACTTGGCAGCTGACTTAATCAATAATTCAATAACATACACAAATCTTTAGTACAAAACTCAAAGTACCACATCAAATATTTCCTCTCCTTTTCCCTTAATATCTACTGTCTCATATTTAAACTAATACAATTCTTATTGTATCCATTAAGTAAAGATAGCATTGTTACATTTATAAATAAATTTTTAGCTTATACATATACATATCCTAGTTACTTTAACATTCAATCTTTATAAACAATCAATGTCCTGTAGTTAGTTTTTCCCAATTTTTAGTTTCCCGTCAACATTTAAATTTAACATTTGATATTTATAATTTCCAAATTTTTGGTAACCAAAATTTCCTTTATCACAATTCTTAACAAAGTCTAATATTCAAAATACACATCTTATCTATTTGAGTATATTCTATTTCCCACCATCATCTAATTAATAATACAATATAACAGTTCTTATTTTCAACTAGTTTCCAAATGTCTTAAATCTAATGACCAAAATTTCCCCTATTTCAACATCAAATATTTCTTCTTTTTCTCTTGATATCTACTATCTCATATTTAAGCTAATACAGTTTATAAACAATCAATATCCTATTTATTTGTTTTCCCCAATTTTTAATTTCCCATCAATATTCAAATTCAACTTTTAGTATATTTCCAAGTTTTCAATGACCAAAGTTTTCTTTATCTCAATTCATAACAAAATCTGGTATTCAAAGTATACATCTTGTCTATTTAAGTATATTCTATTTTAATTAGTAATATAAAATACTCGCTGATAAATCAAAATCCCAATTTTCTTCAGCCTTATTCTAGCTTTCTTCCTTTGCCATCTCGCCCTCCATGTCAGTGCTTTTAGGACATCAAATAGATCTCCCTCTGTTATTATATATATTATTTGAAATAAAAGAGACCATCCAGTTGCTATTTTTTTGCAAGGGCTAACAAATCATATCTCTATTATTCCAGATCCCCATAATTGTCCTGGTATGTTTGTCTTCTCTTCAGGCTATTCTTCTACTTGCTCCTCAAGTTTCTTCTGGTTTATATAGAAAGTCTTTTCCATTTTCAATGTTGTAAGTCCCTTTTCTGAATTCTCCATTGACTGTATTTGTTGGTCAGTTCAATCCTCTGTCATAGTATTTAATTGTTCCACTTCTTCTGTTATGTTTTGTGTAGTTGATTCTTTAGTTGTAGTCAAAATTTGAATTCGTATATCTAGGCTGACATCTTGTTCTTTTCTGTAGCATCTTATTTCATCACAAGCTGAAAGAATGGTTTCATGTATTGCTTTTAACATAAGGAGAATCTGTTCCTGGTCTTCATCCATATTCTCTTAGTAGTGTGTTAAATTAAGAACTTTAAAGTCAGAGAATGAAAATAATTTTATAACTGAGTGTAGAACACTGCTGAGCTTCTCACAGCTGATAATTGTCAAGGTTGAAAAAGTCTTATCTGTAGTTTGGCTTCCAGCCAAGTCTCCTTTAGACAATAACAAGTTGTAATATCAAACGTAGCCACAAGATGTCACCAATGCCATTTATGGTTTTTTAAGTCCAAAATTTTTATAATCCTTTTTCCAATTTTATTTATTTTTTGTAAATAAAAACCAAGGTGTTCGACAGAGATAATATTTTGTCCCCAAATTCTAAAAGCATATAAATCCAGTTAGATTAAGATTATTCTTTCAATGTTTTAACTTCCCTAGATAGTCAGTCGCCGCTATTCTTAGAGGGTGGGATAAAAGTTCCCTTCCCTCTTTCCTCACAGGGGAGAAGATACTTTGGGCAGCTTTTGCAGGAGAAAAAAAAATACTTGGGATTAAAGAGAGGTTCAGATCTCACCAGTCTCATCTGTGCTGCTTTGGAGTGCCTGGTGGTAAGTTTGACTTCGGCTGTCTGCAGCCTAGTGATGAGCCATATTTCTATGGCCGGTCTTTTGTCCGCTGGTTTGGAGGGTTGCCCCGTATCGAGTGGAAGGGCTACTGCCCTCCCACAATCAAGCAGGGATCCCCCCTACAGGATGACCTTTGACCCTTTCCAGGGTCCCCCAGCGGTGCAAAATCGAATGTGGAAGACGGAGCTCACCTTCCAGTGGCTGCAGCAGCCACGATGGCAAGCCGGAAGTCCTCAATCAAGGTCCTCATTTTGCCGACCTCAGAAGGATGGAAGGCTGAGTCAACCTTGAACCAGGATCAAACTCCTGGCAGTGGGCAGAGTCAGAGTCAACCTGCAATACTGCATTCTAACCACTGCACCCACCACAGTTCCTAAGATTCATGAAAATACCTGATCCCCTTTTAAGGGCCATCACCTTATCTTATGCAAATAAGTCCATAAATTAAATCTGTGGTTTGTGATAAAGTACTGTCCTTTGCAACCATACTATGTGCAGGATAGTCCTAGTTCTAAAATTATGAAACAGGAAGGTTTTTTTTAAAGAGTATTATGGAAATCCAGGATTCAAACAGAGTTCAAGGATTGGGCAAATCATTATGATGAAGACTTACTTGCCTCAACAGTATAGCTCAGGCTAAAAACACTTCTTTGAGCCCCTTGGAAGAATGCTGGGTATAAATGAAATAAATAAAATGTAAGTACCACTTATCTTCTTGTCTGGTATATCAATAAAAGGGAGGTTTCAAATAGAGGCTGAAGAGAAATAAAGAAATCCACAGTTATTAAATAATTTAATTCACTTACCACAAGTCCTAGCACAAGGGTACGCACTCTCTCCCCAATTTCTGGTGAAATGTCATTGCCAAACTGCTGTAAGGTTGTAAGAAATCTCTTCAGTTTGCTAAGCTGCCGAGCTCCACAAGCTGGTGGTAGTTGCTGATTAGCCAAAGACGAAGAGGAAGAGGAGGATGGGCCATTGCTAAAGCCATTTGGTGGGGAAGGAGCCCCATTCAAAGCTGTTGGTGAATGGCTCGTGCCGTTAGTTACTAAAAAAGGAAAGAATACAGAGAAAGACATGTCTTCAGAACTTTTTCAGCTTCATATTTCCCTAAGTTAGAATATTTCTGAAGGAGGTATTTTGCATAGATAAACCATGGTGAAATGCAATGGTTTAAAGCAATTGGACAATCATTTCTCCAAAATGGTATAGGGTTTCCTGCCTGAGCAGAGGGCTGGACTAGAGACCTCCAAAATCCCTTTCAACTCTATTATCATGTGAGTCTGCTAACGTCTTGTTTTCCTAAATAATAAAGACATTGTAGCTAAATTGCAGTAAATGCTTTAGATTTCAAAAAAGCATTGGGCAATAGCTCTCTTTTATTAGATTCTCAGAAATAGGTCTGTGGATTCTTTGAGTGATTACTTACAAGTTCCCTGTTCTACTTGAGTTTAATTCAAAATTGGGGTACCAGAGGATTAGTTGCAAAACGCACATCAATCATAGTAGACATTTTGCAAACAATCAATCCCAGCTATTTTTTGAGAGTTCCTCCAACATGCTTTCAAAATCTAAATGAGTCTCTCAGCTCTTTCTCAGGCTAACATTAATCTTATCCTAAAAGAGAACAACGTATTGAATAACTGAATATTTTTCTGTACATTTTAAATAGGATGCAAATACACAGCTTCCTATTGTCTTTCAGGATGAAAACTCTGCATGCATATAGTTTTGCAATTATAAATGTTGGCTTCAATAGGAGCACGTGATACATTTTAATGGAATGAAAACCTGATTACCAAAGTAAGCATTCTGTAAGTATTCATTAGATTTATAGTTGACCTTTCTTCCAGAAGATTAAGATGGCATACTAGGAAACCCTTCCCATTTTTTTTCAAAACAACATCCTTATGGAGTTTATCCAAAAAGACTTTTAGTACCAATAATTACTGTTTGCATAATGCTGAGATCCTGTGGGTTTAAAATAAGGAACCCAGCACATTCTTTAAAACTGTGACTCAAAACTTATATGTTTTTAATTTTCTCTTGGCTTTTGTGAGAAAGAGCAAAAAAGAAAGGCTGTTTTTTTAATGCATTTGCTGTCTGATCACAAGTTCCTTAAATTCCCAATTGTGTTGATTGTATGGCTCTATGCATAAAAACCTGGTTCCTGCACATGTTACATTATGTAAAGTGTGCAGGTTTTCAAAACAGCGCTTCATTCTCCAGCATAAATTGACTGGGCAATTTTCAGGATGTGATTCTTTTTTTATAAGGACTTCTTTATAATAAAATATTCCAGACTAAGGAGGTTTTGAGGGACTCAAACCCAGGTGAATAAGGTTCTAAAGATGCTGGTCTCATTACAGTATAGAGCAACAATACCATGAAACAAAATTCTGTGATTATAAATTCATTGCAGGAAGTACCTGAAAAAAGAAAAAGGATCTGTCACAAGCCCAGGCTTGCCATAGTCACACTGGACTTTTGAAAAGTTATAAAAAGGTGAAATGGATAGTCTGAAGCACCTTCACAGAAGAGAAATTGGAGTACCTGGACCTGGGTTATAGGCTAGCAATTTTATTTTTGCAGTGTGTGTGTGTGCGTGCGCGCAAAACCTTCCCCTTCTAATCTGAAAGAACTCACAATGCATATATTTTTAATATCTCTACTTTTTGAGGTTATAACAATACTTTTCAATCTTTAAATAACCTTCCTTTAGTTAAATAGGGAAATATGAGGAAGTACAGCTTGATGGGTTTTTTTTCTGGCATTGCTCCTATCTGAACAAGTATACAGATGTTACTTATCACAATATACTCTAAGAAGAGGGATAAAAACCAGACAGCTGCTGACAGTGGGGAAACAATACTCCTGAAAATAGAACAGGAAAAACAGAAATATATAATAGCATCCCTGTCATTATGTGGTTAGAGAAGTTGAGTTACAATTATTACAAACTGAGGCAGTACTTTCCAATCTAAATAGTTGCCGATCTGCTTTTTAAAAACAAGTAAGCTTTAAATCTACCACAATCAACTGGACAGATATACCAATTGGAAATGGTTAATTCGGTTGTCAAAAAAGTTCATTTTTTTTCTTTCAGCATCAACTCTCATTCAGAATGCTACAATGCAAACAAACAAACTAGTCTTCACTAGTGAACTGGAAAGAAGGATAAACAATGTTAAAGATTTGTATAGTGTAGGGGACAATTAATAGTTTAAATAATATTATCCAAAATGAGAGCATTAAGGACAGAGGAAAGATCAAGATGTTTGCTGCAGCTTCACTTTTCTTATCAAAAGCATATATAGAAGAAAAGTATAATTACATGTTGTGAGTGAATTTTTACTACAGGTAGTACTCAAGTTACAACTATAATTGAGCCCAAGTTTATGTTGCTAAGTGAAACATTTGCTAAGTGAGTTTGCCCCATTTTATGACTTTTTCTTGCTACAACTGTTAAATGAATCATTGCATTTGTTAAGTTAGTAACATGGTTGTTAAGTAAATCGGACTTCCCCATTGTCTTTGTTTCTCAGAACGTCGCAAAAGCTGATCACGTGACCCCAGGACACTGCAACTGTAATAATAATCAACCAGTTGTCAAGCATCTGAATTCTGATCATGTGACCATTGGGATGCTGCAATGGTCATAAGTATGAAAAAGAGTCATAGGTGTGGTAACTTTGAATGGTCACTAAATGAACTGTTGTAAGTTGAGGACTTTATGTGTAAATTTCACCCACAAAACACCAATAGTTCTTGTTATTAAGGGATAGTTTTATGTTGTTTGTTTTATTGAATGTACTTTTCTTGGTCAAAGAAGTTTCTGCCTTACATGTTGTGGGTGTGAAAGAACTGGTTCTTGGGGCTCCTTGGGTTGTTGGGGGAGGAGGCATTGTTGGAGGGGTCAGCCTGGATTGTGTCTTCACATCCACAGGTGAATCTGGCATTGTGGAATGCTTCTCAATGCGATCTGTAATAGATAAAAAGTTTACTTGTTCAAATAGGTAAAGATACCAGCTACCAAATATAACAGTTTTCGGTTCTCAGATATACAAATATATTTTAGGATTGGGTAAACTTTCTTTAATTTGAGAATCTTTTTTTTTCATTATTGAAAGCAAACCAAAAAGTGTGATAGTGTTATCCTTAACTTTCTATAATTGAGTTCAGGTGGTAGTGTAGCTGGAAGAATAATGCTTGGTATAAAGAGATTATAGCCTTAACAAGAAGACCATCAAATTCTGGTATTATGATTCTTTCATGAAGATCAGCTACACAACACTTTAACATTTGATGTTTACTCTATTTTATTTTCCTGGCATTGCCATTCTATGCCCAAACACTGTAAATAAACCCATGGAAGTTAGAAAGATCCAGTTCTTCCCAATTAGAGTTTGGATTGTACACGCAGGGGCATATTACACCAGTTTCCCCCATGCATTGCTTTAAATAAAAATTAGTCTGTGATTTGGCTTGCTATAACTATCTTCTCCTTTGCTTGAGCCAAAGGGTATTCCTATACCAAAAATCCACCACTGAATACAATCAAGTTTAATTATTTCGCTGTATTCAGACATGTTTCACAATGAAGTAGCAGCAATACTTCCAAATGAATACATTTAAGACCCGATGTAAGATACATTCTGATTAAATACTCTTGGTGATGTAATATGTAAGCTGACCATGAAGACATTTTATATGCCATTTAAGTATTTACATCAATGTTAATTAATTTTAAAAGTCACCTACAAAACTGGAAACTTTTCTGACTCCTGAATATACCTCATGATTACACAATTTTTCTCATGATATTACTAGATTAAGTGGCCTAGCTAGATTGACATTTTCCTATACCTTTTTTCCTTATATACTTGATACATGCACACAGCAAGTAATCTAATAGCTGTAAGATCTGTGTAAGATGAAAGCATTTACAAAGCACCACACATAACCCTTAATAGCATGGTTAATATTCCACATAATGTCTGGAAATTAACTGTGTGATTTATTCTTAAATACGGTGGATTGTTTGGATTTCTTGTAGTCTCTGAATCATCAAATCTGACATTTGAGAAAAAATCTGAGAAGGTTGTTTAGTCAGGGATGATGTTACATGCTTTGCAAACTTACTAATATAAAACTGCTACATTTTATAAGAATGTTGGGAAAATACTGTATCAATTTATCTTTGTGGATAAAGAAAAATTAGTAAACATAATTTGCCATTTAGACTTTAAAAATCGAACTATTAAAGCAGTTAATAGAAATCTCTATGGAAGTAAAAAGACAAAACATTGTTTCATATTTTTCTCTTTCACACAATACTGGCTGAATTGATGGTCCCTTAGCCACTTTCCTTGGCAGAAGATACAGTATTAAGACGATGCTAAATTTAATAGCATTGAATTAGAAGCCTGTGTAAGAAGTCTAATCATTAAACGATAGTGACTGAAATATGAACACTTAAATAAATATAGCTAAATTCAGTTTGATTTCCTGTATGATTTATTTCACAGTTCACAATGGGTAAAAGAAATGAAAAAAAATCCTTCTATAAACCTTTGTTTTAAAAAATCAAAGGCACGAAAGGACAAGATTGGTGAAAAAAAAATAACATTTTTGGGTAGCTTCCAAAACAATTAAATCCAATGGAAACCCCACTGAAGTGACTGGGAACAATATGAAAACATCCTCATGTTTGAATTTGTCATTTTCAAGAAAGAAACTGCAACTGTAAAAGCTCTCCTTTTTTCAGGTTATAATTTCAATTCAGTAGACAATCAAGCATTTATTTTTCAAAATTTCTTTTAATGAAAAATAGAGTTTTATAATGGAAAATAAAGGCCTGGAACTATAATTTCATTATCAGAAACGTATCAGAGTCCACAGAGTTTATGTAGAATTAAACCTAAAAAGTATAGTTCTTTGCAAACTGTGGGACTAAATATTAAGATATCTGCAAAGAAGGAAGAAGAGGAGTGTTGTAAACAAAACAATGTTCCCTAAAAAAACACACTTGGCTGATACTGTGATCAAATATTTAATAGGCATGATAAATAAACTTAAACCGAACAAGTTTGGAAATGTTGTTTGTTCCACTCACCTACAGCGTCAGCAGCGAGGAAATACTGTATATAACATTTAGCCTATAATGCAATAGAGGAAAAGAGGCATGGCAGGGACTACAGGCTGTCCTAAATAAAGGCAGATATTTCTGCCATGCCAAGAAAGGAGAGAGAAGAGAGACTTGCCAGAGCTGGCCAGAAGATAACATTGGCAATTGCTGGTCCATCTGTTTTGCATTCTGCTAACACTCATGCTGAAGTGTTGGAAAATGTATACCAGGTACACAGGTCTGAAAACATGTGTGAGCCTGAACATGAACAGAGAGGAGCAATATGTGGAGGAAGGAAAGGAAGTTATATTGTAGTTGTGAAAAGGCAATCACAAGGTATCCCTCCAATTCAATTCCTGGGAACTGAAAAAGTAATTTCTTTCTCCCTACAACACAATGGCAACATATTGCCTCCCATTTTAGAGCAGTTGAAAAATGAGTTGACCTCAAAAGACAGAGGAAAGTGTGGGTGGTCTGAATGACTATACAGTCTTTAAGGCAAAAGCCCCATTTATTATTCAACTAGACAAGAGAAATGCTATTCCGATATATTAGTTGCCCCATAAGGTTTATATCGAATATTATAGAGAAAGTTTTTTATTAATATAATGAGTTATATTTCCCAACTCTTTGCAATTGCCTTCCACTTGCTATGCAACCTAGGTCCTCAGAGTAGGTTGGGCAAGGTGTAGGATTATAAACCACTTGGTTAGCAGTCTATTGTGTTGGTGAACACAATACTATTTCATATATTGCCTATGACACTATTAAAAACAACTGGTATATTTCAAGCTGTAAATTACTTTCCAATCTTTTAAAAACGAATTTAAACTAATTTGAAATAATTATGCATAATAATAATCTTTATAACCTAAATATAAATTAATTAGTAATTAATGTTACTGAGTATCATAAGAATTTTTGGTAGATTTGGTTCTATTAGTTCCTAGGATTTCAAGAAATCCTTCAGTTGATGGAATGGAGTTGGGGAATCATATAAAAGAAGATTTAATCTGGATAATTCTGATACCTTGTAAATGTGTAAAAAGTGGCAGAACTGAGGAAATGTGAAATCTTACATCTTAAATACCATAACTATATGCTACATTGGACGTTTAAAAAAATTACTTTTCAATCATTGGCCATAATTACATGTATTACTTTTGAACAGAACTAGATGTGTAGTGTATCATGATGGAAATCTGGGCATAATGTTAAAAGCAATCACAAAAATTATCCTAGTGTTATTAATTTGTAAATCTAACTTTGATTTTGAAGCAAAGGAGTAGAAAGATTCTAAACTTGCAAATGGCAGCTTTATGTTTTTGTAAACTTACTAATAACAGAAAAAAGCTATTAGAAAGTAGAGCCTAGCTCAGTGGTGGCGAACCTATGACACGCGTGCCAGAGGCGGCACTCAGAGCCCTCTCTGTGGGCACATGCACCGTTGCCCCAGCAGAGTTTGCCAGAGTAGCGAGCACGTGGCGTTTGGAAGCGACAGGGCAGGAAGTGAGTGAGCAAGCGGCATTGGCCCCCCGGGGATGCCCCGGAGATGGCAAGGGACTGGCCCTGGCCATGCTCACCTGGTCTGCCGTGACCACTGCAGCCACACCCACCCAGTGGGCCACGCCCCCCCCGAGGGCACCACAATGCTGATGCAGCCCTGGCACTTTGCGATAAATAAGTGGGCTTTGGGTTGCAGTTTGGGCACTCGGTCTCTAAAAGGTTCGCCATCACTGGCCTAGCTCTATGTTAGATGTTCTAATTACCAGATCAAGTTATATTTAGGTATGAAAGAATGAACATACTGCAACTAAAGCTTTAATTCATCTCTCAGGGACAATGGAGCACAGGAAAGGAATGGGGTGAAGCAGGAAGAGGCTCACACATCATTCCCCAAAAGCTCCTCCCACTTTATCTGAAGTTATCCTCCACTTCACCTGTTAATTGTTCAATACAAATTTACCTTTCTCCCATCACATAGACCAGAAAGAAAAATTGATAGCAATCTTGACAATTTCATTCCAACACAACCAATAGAGCAAATTGGTGAAGTCCTGCAAGGGAATGGCAGTGAGTGATCATAGCCAGAAGGTTGCAAAATGTGATCACATGACCCTTGGACATTGAACCAGCATAAATATGAGTCAGTTGCTAAGCATCTGAATTTGATCACTTGACCATGGGGATGCTGCAATAGTCGTAAGTGTGCAAAATGGTCATAAGTCTATTCAACAACACTCCAATTTCAAATGTGTAATGACAGATGATCCAATTAATGGCATGAAATTTTCATCCTCCAAATCAGCTTCCACCCACAGCTTTATTGATCTCCTATAAATGTCTTCTCTCCCTCCTACTTAGGCACAATACACGAATGAAATGAGTGAAACACAACATAGTAATCAGTCACCATAAAGTTGCCTTTAAAAGAATTCAATATTTTAAAAAATAGTTTAGAATATGATTTTAGTTCACCTCTTCATTCTCAGTTGGTCTGGGATCTGGTTATGGTTCAGAGGTTGCCAGATGACTATAGGTTTTTAACCATGACTTTGACTTGCTTGCTTTTTATGTTTCTCAATTTTAATTTTCACTTTTAATTGGGTTTTACATTTAGTTTTAAAGGGTATTATGATAGTTATTGATTTATGAATTTTGTTTACTGGTTGTATTATTTGCTTGTTTTAATTGTACGAGCTGCCCAGAGTCACGAATGTGAGATGGACATCTAAACAAATCAAATGAATGAATGAATGAATGAATGAATGAATGAATGAAGGTAGGAAGGTAGGAAGGAAGGAAGGAAACATAATGTCTATATT